AATCACGGAACCACACCACACCAAGAAATTTACTTTGAAAAATGAGGAGAATTGTACAATTTACAACACACAAGTTTCTCTAGGTGCACTTTTGAAATTCAAGAGCACTCCTTCCTCTCCTTTGCACAAGAAAAATCTCAAAATTCAACTTTAACACACCCAAATCCCGCAATATTGAATCTTGAGTATAAAACCCAAACTGCTTGAATTTCGTTATTGGCTTTGTGATAGAATACGAAGGCGCTCCAAATGGGCATTGTGGCGCTGCATTGTTGTGTTCTCAGGTTTCTGAACTTGAACTAGGCGTTGTGGTGCTGCTAGTCTTGACGTTGGAGCACTGCAGTGCCCTCTCCGAGAGTTGGAATGTCGCGCGCTTGGGTTCTAAACCTGTACCGGGCACGATGTCACTGTATTCTAGGTACTGGGGCACTGTGTACAAAAAAAAAAAAAAGGGGGTGCCCCACTCCCCTAGAAAACTAACCGTTAAGCTTGATCAGCAAAATTGAGGGCGATTATATTTTGTCTCGCACGCTGAATAGTTAAGCGATATCAGCATAAACAATAGAAAATGATTCAATCATCCTTGCATTAATTAAATCCAATTTTAATTTTCTTCTAGTTTATATTCTCTACATTTTTAAACACCATACCCCCATCACATCACATAAAGCTTAAGCGCATGTGATTCTTTTTATATTTTCTCGATACATATAGAATATCAGTAAAATAAAACAAAAATATTTTTTCTTATAATTGCATGTTTATTACATGAAGCACCTGAATTTGCCATTTGCAGTGGAACCCTATCTGTTACTCTTCTCTGTTCCCATTGTCTCCTTCCATATTTAGTAAAATAAGATGAGTAAATGAAAGAAGATAAGATTGGAACAAAGTGATGAGCCACAAACATTTGGCCATCTGCGACAAAATTGTGGGACAATTCTCCGTGTGTTAAAACATATGATGTGAGACAAGTGATGAGGTGAGGTAAAGGAAGATGTGAAGGGTAACCAACTGAGGTAAAAATTGCTATGTAAAATGATTGTTAAGAATGCAATTCTCGGAGGAAATTAATATGGCTATAGACTACTTGATATTTTCTTAAATTGTTAAGAAGTTGTGTTAAGTTAAAACAGTTCTGGATATAATGATATGGTTTATTTTTTAGTTTTATTATTATTATTTTTCTCTACATATGCACGTAAACGTATGTACTTCGTATATGCAAGGTTGAAAAAAGAAAGCTCTCAGCCACTAGGCCAGGGTGGCTTGCATAATTATATGACTTGATTAAAAGAAGTAAGATTTGAATTTTGTTTGTGTGATTATTTTGTGATGACATGCATGTTTATTATTGTTTTTTATTTTATGGGTAATGAGTAAGTTATTAATAGTTAAGTTGAATATTATAGATATGTTTAAGAATGTTAAGATGATTATATGATAAAATTATAGATAATAGACTAAGCAATGTTGATTGTAAATGACATCATGCATTGAAGAAAAGATTGTGAAAATTTTGGTTGATCGTATGCTTTAGGCTTTTACATCAAAGTTTAGAAGACATAATAATTAATAATTTATACATACTGATAAATTTATTGTGAAGCGATTAAAAAAATTTGAGTAAATATAGAAATTGCGAGCTCACAAAAATAAGCTTTAATGTTTATAATTTTATTAAGTGTTGTATGATTTTATGGAGAGTTCTATATATGTTTAGTATAGAATTCTAGAACTATAAAAATATTGTTGATTTTTTACATGTTTTTGTGATGAATTGGAGTTTGCACAAATTTTGTGATGGCATAAGGTTGCTCATAAAACCTATTTAATTAACAAAATTTTGATTAAAAAAACTATGATGACCATTATTGAATTCAAATCAGTCCATGAGCATACCCTAGGCTAAAATAAGGGAGAAAATGAAAAAAAAAATGAATGAAAAGAAAAGTAAAGAATCTCTTAATATTCTTTTAATGTCCCTAGATGCTTCACTCATTAATCTCTTTGGTCTTCCTTTTTCCTGTCTCTTACACGAAAAATTAAAACCCTATATGTATGTAAAAATGACAATAAAGAATTGCTTTTGAATGTTCTCCAGGAAAACAATAAAATCTTTGCGACAATATTTGGGTTCCTGGTCTAATTCTAGTAAAATCAGAGATTGTAGGTAGCATCATGGATAGAGCAGCCCTTATTTGCCCATCTGTTGCACACGATTAACGCACTAGTTCCCAGAAGCAAATGTTTGTAGTAAACGCCCTACTACATCATAATTCAGACAAGAAAGAGTCTAAAAGGCCTCATTAGTTGAGTTTCAAATTTTTTATGCTACACTATTTGTTCACCCGGCTAGAATGAGGACTACTAGGGCTCACTCACCGCTCTCTGTGTTTTTGTCAGGTTTTAGCTTGAGGAGGGTTGACTTTGGCACCATCTAACAAACTGTCAAAACTTCTCAAATATCGATTTAGTTGTTCAAGCAGTGTTGGTTGGATCATATAGTTGGTGCCACATCAAGGTCCTTGTTGATGTACTATTATATATATATAATATGTGCCAAAATTTATCACTAGCAATGGCCGGAAGAAATAACAAAAATACATTTTATCACAAACATGTTATTCAAAATTTTGGGATTTTACATGTTCATTGCAAATAATTGTGTGCTGTAAAAAATTTACAAATCTTCATTGTGAAGTTTTTTCAAATCTAATAAATTGTTTCCTTGAGGTTGACTTTTTTCCTACCAGTGTAAATCTATCATTTTTAATTAAAAAAGTGTTTTTTTTCATAAAAAAATGAAATGAAGTATGAAATAATGCAAACTTTAAAATAGAAAAAAACATACATACTGCACAACTTTTATGTCTTTACATATCTAATACCTCAAATACAAAAATAATTTTTTTAAACTATTATAGTTTAACACTTACATTCTTAAACTATTCACTTAAGCTATCATGTTTATAATGACAATTAACTTATATTCTATTGTGCTATTGTCTCTGATTAAATTCATTAAGTCTATAATTAGTTAGTTGCTCTCTCTCTCTCTCTCTCTCTCTCTCTCTCTCTCTCTCTC